CCACAGTGATGGAGAATGGATCAGTGGTTGTTGTGAGAGCTCAGGCAGGGGTAGGGGTGGAAGGTATAACAAAGGGATAGCAAAAGGGAGTTTGGAGGATAATAGAACTATTTTTTATTCTGGTTGTGGTGACTGTTACATGAACCAGCATGAACCTATACAAGTGTTAAAATTCATCAAACTATGTGCCAACAAAGCCAGTTTTACTCTATGTTAATTTTAAAATAAAAATTAAAAATATTGAACATCCTAAAGAGCTTTTGTTTATTTGGATTACATCTATCAATATTTTCCATAACAGAAGTTAAAAGTGATAAAATTTTAAATATTAATTTGTTAATTCATTTAAAATAACAATACTGAAAGTATATTTCATAAAAACATACTTGTAATGAAAAATAACTATATATATTCCAAATATACAAAAAAATGTAATCTCATTGTTTTCCATTTTTGCAAATCTCTTTAATGGCTGGCTTAATAAAAGACGGTTATATTCTCATATCTACTTCTGCATCTATCTGTTGCAATATCATAGCTTCAGGAAAACTCTGCTGTACACTTGATAGAGACGATAATAAATGAGAGTGATAAATTCAAATAAAATCTAAGTATTATTGTGAAAGCAGTTTGACTTTGTGGACCCCCCAAAGGATCTTGGGGACCCCTAGGGGTCCCCAGACCTCCCTTTCATTATGTTGCTAGTGAATGCCAAAATCTGAAAACCTCTTAGGTCATTTTCAGCTTCAACTCACTTTGCCTTCCCTCTTTGTTTCTGGTACTCAGGAATTTCCCTTTCTTGTTTCTAAACATGGCTATATGTGTTTTGTTACTATTATATTTATCCAGCATTTATGTATCTGAAGTGGGATAAAGGAGTTTTCACATCAGCTTCATCTACTTTATCAGCTGTAGGTCTCTTTATAGTGGTGTTATCGATCTTTTCTATTTTGTTTCGTGTGATTTCCTTGAGCCTTTCCACAATCTTTGTATCTTTTCAGTTGTGGGGTTTGTTTGCTTCTAGTGTGGTTTGTAATTTATTTTTCTTTTCAATTTTGTTTTAAGATTTATAAACTTCTCTTTTTTTTAAATATATTTTTATTGATTTCAGAAAGAGGAAGGGAGAGGAAGAGAGGGATAGAAACATCAATGATGAGAGAGAGTCATTGATCGGCTGCCTCCTCCTGGGGATCGATCCCAAAACCCAGGCATGTGGCCGGACCAGGAATCGAACCTCAATCTCTTGGATCATAGATTGATGCTCAACCACTGATCCATGCTGGCTGGGCTAAACTTGTTTTCTCAATCTCCCATTGTCTTAAATATCTTGTACATTTTTAAATTAAATTTATTGATATAGCATTGGTTAATAACATTATATAAATTTCAGGTGTAGAACACTGTAATTCTTGAGTGTGTTCTTTTTAAAGAGCCATCATCAAGGGAAACAAAGGAGGAAATAAACAAGAAGGACTACATCAAAATAAAAAGCTTCTGCACAGCGAGAGAAACCATCAACAAATGAAAAGGGAGCCCGCTGTATGGGAGAACATATTTGCCAATGACACATCTGATAAAGGGTTAATATCCAAAATATATAAGTAACTCATACAACTTAACAAAAGGAAGACAAACAATCCAATTTAAAAAATGGGCAAAGGACCTAAATAGAAACTTCTCCAAAAAGGACATACAGATGGCCAAGAGACATGAAAAAAATGCTCAGTCACTAATCATCAGAGAGATGCAAATTAAAGCCACAATGAGGTATCACTTCACACCTGTAATAATGGCTACCATCAACAATCAATGAATGACAAGTGCTGGGGAAGATGTGGAGAAAAGGGGACCGTAGTACGCTGCTGGTAGGAATGCAGACTGGTGCAGCCACTATGGAAAGTAGTATGGAGTTTCCTCAAAAAATTAAAAATGGAACTGCCATTTGACCCAGTGATCCCACTTCTAGGAATATATCCTAAGAAACCTGAAACACCAATCAGAAAGAACTTATGCACCCCTACATTCATAGCAGCATAGTTTGCAATAGCTAAGGTCTGGAAACAGTCCAAGTGCCTATCAGTAGATGAATAGATAAAAAACATTTACACCATGGAATACTACGCAGCTGTAAAGAAGGATCTCTTACCCTTTAGGACAGCATGGATGGAACTGGAGAGTATTATGTTAAGTGAAATAAGCCAGTCAGAGAAAGGTAAGTACCACATGATCTCACT